CCATTGATAATTTCCTACCATTTTGTCTGTAATTTGCTAAGTCCCCCCTATTATTATGTTATCTTTCTTTTATTCTTTAAAATAAAAAAAAAATCCTAACCTTAGCCTTAAACTTAACCTTAAGCCTAGTTAACTTCTAACTCTAACTCTAACCCTATCCCCGGGAGAATCTTAACTATAACCCTTAATCAAACCATAGCTCTGGCACTACTGCTGGTAGAAACCTAACCTTAGCCCTAACTTCAACCATAGCCATAGCACTGGCCCTCCCAATAACCCTAAAACTAACCCAATCCTAAACTTTAACTTAATTTTAACCCTAACCTTGGAACTAGCCTCAGCCCTAGATGTAGCTCTACCTCTAGCTCTCACAGAAATCAAGCCATAGCCCTAAGCCTGTGTCTAGCACCAGCCCCAGCTCTAGCCTTAGCCCATAACCATAGCCCTGACCCTACTTTTAACCTTAGACTTAGAAATCTGGAGGCTCAGCCCTAGCATAGACCTAAAGCTAGCCCTTACCCAACCATAAACTTAAACTTAACCCTAAACCTAACAAAGCTTTGCCCAAAACCTAAACACAGTCCTAAACTTAGACAACCATAGCCCTAGCCATAACTTCAACCTAGAATTAACCCTAGCCAGAACCTAGCTCTAGACATAGCCCTAAATGTAACCATAAAGTTACCTGTTACCTTAACCCTAAACATAATCTTATCCTTAATTATAACAGTAACCCTATATCAAATAGTAACCTAAGACTACCTCAGTCCTCACCCCTGCCCTGGCCCTACCCCTAGTCCTAATCCTAAACCTAACACTAACACTAACACTAAACCTAACCATAGTGAAAATTTAGTCCTAGTCCTAGTCCTATCCCTAACCCCGAGTTTAAGCCCAACTCTAATGCTGAACCTAATCTGAAACCTGATACTAATTTTAACACAGAACATAACTCTAGCCCTACCTCTAAACTGGTACATTCCTAACTTTGATCCTAAAAGGTTCTGGAACCCCAAATATAGTCCTTAACCTAGTCTTCACCCTCACTCTACCCATATCCCTAGCTTTATTCCTAACACTAGTCCTGAAATTACATGTAACCATAAAACTAATTCCAGCCGTAACCCAAGTGAAATCCTAGTCTTTCCCTAAACCTGGTGCTGGAATTGCCCTACCCATATCCCTAGGCCAATCACTAACCCTAACTACTAACCTAACCCTCACCCTAAACATCACTGAACCCTAGCCCTAGCTCTAGCCATAGTGCTAGGGAGAGACACAGGGTCAGGGGTTGTTAGGGCTTGTAGCTAGATGTCCTCCCAAAGGCACATGCTCTCATATGTGGAGGTTTTCAGAGGAGGCTGGATCTAGGACAGTGATGTCAAGCTTATGTCATGTGTGTTATTTTTCTTTTAAAACATAAAATGTTAATGTATGAATTGTTTTTTCTAAAGTAAAACCTCAGTGTTCAGGTTTACTTGCAGTGCGGATATTTTGCAATAAATAAATAAATGGGTTGTGGGTTGCACTTTGGGCACTCATCTCTAAAAGGTTTGCCATCACTCGTCTAGGCTGTGTGATACTGGGATTAAGTGTGTGTGGTACTAGACTAGCCCACTAATTATTTTATCAATGGTGTGGATAATGGGAAGGCCCAACTAAGGTGTTTGTAGCCTGGATGGGATAAAAGGAAAAAGGAGGCTTGCTGCTTGCTGCCTTCCTGCCTGCCATGGACTGTTTCTCCTCTGTGATGCCCCTCTGCCATCCCACTCAGCCTTGGAGTCAATGGACTATGGACTGAAACCGGTATAAAATGTGAGCTGCTATAAACTTTTTCCCCTCTAACTTGTGGGTGCTCGGTATTTTGATTTAGCAACAATAAAAGTAACTAAGAGAAGGGTGCAGGTGGATGGAGAGGGAAGAGAATCATGGGTAGTTTCCTGCCTAGGCCCCTCAGCCTAGGGACTGCTGCCCCAGTAGAAGACATTCACTCACTTGCAGCCATGAGATTGGTCCACTGGCAGAATCAGAGTGCTGTCTAGAAAGAAACATATGAGGGTGTGATTCAACCTCCTATAAGAATCACCCAGGGGCAAGGCTTCCAATTGAAATTGTTCCTCAAAAATATCAAATAGTTATGAGTAATATATTTCTACTCACTGACGCATGAGCAGCAATAAGGAAATTCAGCAAAGATAGGTATTTTAACTACGTTTCATTAAGTTTTTATTCGTGCATACACTTTTACTCAACATTGGGTTTGAATGTGGTATTTTCCTAGGTGCATGTCACGTATTTTGATGATATCTAACCCCACAATTACCCTCCCTTTTACTTCCTTTTCTTCCCTACTCCCCATCCTCTTGTCTACTAACCATCACCCCTCTCCTTTTATGAATATGGCCAAATTTAAATTAACACACAACACATTTCATGAGGTAGAAAGAGGAAAAGGACAATATGCTATGGGAAATAAAACTTATTCATAAAAGAAGTCAAAACAGTCAGTTGTTCCTATTAATAAATTCAATGTAAGACTATAAGGAAACTATTGAGAGCTACTAATAATAAAATATGAAAGTAAGGTAACAAGCGTGGGCCTGGGAAAATGGGAATCGGGGAAATTTGGACCATGTGTACAGTCTTCTGTCATATGTATTCTGTATTCACCTGAACGCATTCTTGCCATAATAAGGAAAGTACTAAAAACAAAACAAAACAAATCAAAACAAAACAAAAAAAAACAAGTGGGGTCAAGCCATGGTGAGACTTGAGTGATCCAATGATTCGCACTATTCTTTAACGTAAAACCAAACTATGCAAGCCAACGTTTTTTTACTCTGCCTCCTAGGATGGCAGTTGCAGGTTAACTGACAGAGCAACAATTGCTTACAGGGAGGGAGACCAGACAGGACAGAAAGGGAGACGTAGATATGTGAGTAGAAATGGACAGCTGTCCACAAACATCTTGGTGAAGGAGGCTGGTCTCTCAAATCACTCTGCTCTTGATTTGTTCCCGGTCCTTGCAATGGGAATCACAGGGTCCATCCAGGGTCTTCCTAAGCTTCTCTAGGGCAGCAGCTTTCACTGTAGACCACGTAGTCAGCCCCTAACTGAGAGAACAAAGATGTGTTCTGCTGTAACATGATGGACATGAAGTGCATGGCACTGCCCATGAAGTATTCTTACAAAAGAGGGACCTAAAATTCTTACCACTAAGGGACAGGACCAAAACCTTAGCCCATGGGCACAGGGCAGGTTCTAACAGGAAGAACCGGCCTGATATGGACAAGCCAGGGAGCAGCGAGTGGACAGGAGAGCATGTACTGCGGTCAGCACCCTCAGGAACTGCACTCCACGTTTCCCTCCCCCTTAGATCAGACTTGAGTCTGTGGCCCATTAGGGCGAGATGTCCTCGGAGCACACTTGGCAGTCTCCTTGTGATCGCAGAGCAGCGTCCAGGCAACAAGCCTGGAAGATGCCACTCAGCCCTGCTACATGACCTCAGGAACTTTTGCACAATGTCTTCTGCTGCGGGCAGGGGGACAGAGGGCTGGGCTCCCTCGTGGGGCTTCGTGACCTCCACCCTTCACAGCTTCTGCTGCCTGGGACCCTGGCCCAGCTCACTGATGGCACATGTGTCCTCAGTAGGCCACAAACTTCCAGGTCCTCCACCTGCTCCTTAAACTCTGCCTTCTGCATGACCTCCACCACCAGATCCAGAGCAACCCCTCTTCTCAGGTCCTGCTTCCCATCCCCCTCTTCCCAGTCCAGTAAGACAGACACACTCACCTGCAGCTTTGCCGTGGCCTCCTGTCGGGCCTGGTGCCTTTCCCCAGACATGCAGTCATCCTCTGTCCCGGGGCCAGTGCCTCCTTCTCGGGCTCGCCCTAGGTCAGGACTGCCAGGCAAGCCAGGTACTGGCACTGATGCTTCTGCTCCCTCAGCTGCCAATGCAGACAAATGAGCGCATCCTGGGCAGTGGCAAGACCTTCATTAAAATGCTGCCTGCAGGAAGTAGGGTGTGATTTTGTGGGAGGACTGCTCAGGACAAGCTGGGACAGAGAAAAGAGAGAAACCCCCTGACTGATGCTGGCATCTGTTGTTCCTAAGGGGGAGGTATCTGACCACGGCCTCCCACATCAGGTGTGGGGTCCAGGGAAATTAGAGGGTGGGGAAACTAAGGTATTCAAGTGTCCAAGGGGCCCTCTCAGGGAGGCAGAGAAGGTGGCACAGAGAAAAGACAGAGTCCAGCCCAGCTCACCTGGCCTCAGGGGTGCTCACGCTGGCCCACGTCGGGCAGGCCTTTCCTCCTCGTTCCCTTCATGTTCTACAGGGAGCAGCCAGAAGGACCCCCAGTCAGAATCACAAGAGAAGAACCAGGCCCCTCCACCCCGACCCCTCTGAGTCCCACTGGAGGACAATGAGCAGCCAGCACTCTAAAGGTCCCTCCTTTAGAGGTCACCGGGAGTCCTCCTCAGGCCCCGCTCCGCCCCCAGGCACTCACCTTGCCAAGGCAGAGCGCGGAGGCTCAGCTGGGATGGCTGCTACTTCTGCTGCTTGGTGGCTTCCGGGTGCTGTGATGGGTAGGATGAGAACATGAGAAGGCACAGAGGAGGCCAGGTCCTCCCCTGCAGGGGCCTGGACCGCTCCATCACTGGGTCTCCTGCAGCTCCCGCACAGCTGGTCCAGGGCCATCTCGCCCTGCATCTCCTCACCTTGCCACAGGTGGGACAGGAGCCAGTCTCCTGCTGCTGCAGACCCTGGGACCTGGCTCTTCAGCGCCATCTGTGGAAGGCCCTGGGCTGAGGCTAGGGATGCTTGCTGCTTCCTGAGTGAGCCCATAAAAGGGGTTAAGGGACACAGAGGCTCTTGGGCAGCAGCCTGCACTCACCCCTTAGCCTAGTGACTGCTGTCCAGTAGGGCACATTCACTTGCTTTTATCAGTGCGATTAGGATCACAGGCAGCATCATGGTTCTGTTTGAAAAGAAACTTATGAGGTGGTGATTTGACTAAGAATTACCCAGGGCAAGGTGAGCCAAGCTGACTCTGACAAACTTCCATCTCCCACACCTCAAGGAAAAGCCTCACTGTGGTCTCCTCATCCCAGAACACATGGCTCTAGGGACCAAGCTGCCCAAAGAGAAAAAGAGACTGTAGAAGGCACAGTTCTTTGGGAAGGAGAATGGGGCGAGCAAGGGGAAGACAGCAGGCAAAAGAGAAAGGAACAAACCTGAAGTGATGCCACCAGTGAGAGCAGCTCCTGGGGGAGGGACACCACCAGGTGACGCGGTGTCAAAGGCAGAAGGTCGTGCAGGAGCAGTGTCTTCAGGCCTGTCACAGGAGAAAGCAGGTTTCAGGGGACCATGAGGGAGAGAAGAAGCCTACACACCATAGTCACAGAGGGGCAGAGCAGGCAGGACAGACTTGCTGCAGTCAGGAGACCTCACACATGCTGGGGACACCGGGAGTGAGGATGAGGCTTGCCCAGGCTCCAGGCAACAATCCGCCTTTAAGATGTGCACAGCTCACAGCAAGGGCTGACAGCCTCCTTCCTGATCCCCGATGACCTTGCTCTTCCTGAGCTAGGCCAGCGACTGTCTGGGCTGGGACCTGGGGCAGCCACGGCAGGCAGCAGGAAGGTGCGCACTCTTCCTCCAGAGACTCTGCGCTGCACAGACCATGACCTCATCTTCATTTTGAAAACCGGATTCCCTAGTAAAGGATCACTGGGACTCCAGGGGTGCAGCTAAAAATCAATTTTAAAATACACTGGGGCCCAGGAAGTGATTTTTCTGATGTCATCCAATAAGCAAATAGCAAAGAGGCCTCAAACCACCTTACCCTAATTTGGGGGGCCCAAGCTCCTCTAACACACCTTTGGGGGCTTTTGGAGAACCTGAAGATGAGTGGTTGTTCTCACTGGCTTCCTTGGCTGAGGAAAATCAAATAGCAACTGCTATTTACAGAATGTTTCCACTAGGCCTTAGTGAATTCACAAAGAAGGTTCTCTCTCCTGTCTCTCTCTCTTCTCTCAATAGATCTCACTCTGTCTCTGTCTCTGTCTCTCTCTCTCTTCTCTATTTTTGTGGATCAAACCTAGGGTTTGAAACAACCTTATCAAACATCCTACCACTGAGCTATAATGCCCATAGCTGCCAAATGCAGAATTCTTAACCACTATCTAACACTTTCCTCATCTGAACCATGACCCTCTATGACACTCCCCTGCCATTTGACCTCCCAGCAGCCTGGTCCCCCAAAACTCACTTCCTCGGCTGCATGACAATCACCAGCAGTGGCTGTACCAGGGTGACTGCTATTTTTAACCTTTTTCTTCTTCTGCCCTACTGCAAGATCACCAAGGCTGTTCTTTTCCAGAAACTCTCTCAGCTGTGGAAAGGAAAGCAGTGATGCTCATGAAAATGAAAAGCCCCTGTGTGCACATCCTCCTGCATAGTTTCTGCAAAATGCTGGTGTGCATGTCATCTGCTGCAGTGCCACCCACAGCCCCACAAGGTATTGCAATGATCAGTTAATGACAGAGGAAACGACCTGATAGTGACCTCGCTAAAATAATAAAACAAAAAGAAAATACTAAGGCAAGCTGGCACAGTGATGTATACCTGTAATGCCAGCTATTGTGGAGATTGGGACAGGAGGATCTTAAGTGTAAAGCCAGCCTGGAGGAAAGATATTATTTTCAAAATCTCCAAATAAAGTAGGAGGAAAGAAATGCTTTTAAAAATCTCAAAATAAAAATAAAATTAACTGCCTGGTGGCTCCCAGAGGGTGGGCCCCCAGCACATGGGGAGCCTCGGGCGGGGAGCGCTGGTCTTCCGACTGGCGGCTCACTCCCGGCCTCGTCTTTCCCCGGAAGGAGGGCTTCCGGCGCACAGGGAGCCTCGGGTGGGGAGCGCCAGTCTTCCGGCTGGCTAGCTTCCTGCCTGCTGGCTCCCCGAGGGTGGGCCCCCAGCGCATGGGGAGCCATGCGGCAGCGAGCGCTATTGCGCGCCGGCTCTTAGGCCGGCCGCCGCCGCTCAATTGAGGTCTATCATGACACAGAGAAACAGTGACACAATTGGCCCACCATGCACCAACTGCAGTTGCCCACCCCAGGATGTGTGTGAACCACTGAAACTTTGAACAACCCCTGGGAATACATGCCATACAACGTGCCACTCTTGCTCCTGCCATTGAGAACCAGAAAGGTCTAGAGCCAGCGGAGGAGTACCTGCTGAACAAGGACTCAGAGAACATGAGAATGCAGACTAAGCCCATGGAGTCAGAGGTCCAGTGGACTGGGGTCACGAGAGCTGCTCGGAAGCTGTAAACTAGGAGGACCTTGCACAATACCTGCAGAGACTCACTGGAAGCCATTCTTCCCCTGACAGTACAGGCTGTGGTGAAGCTCTGGAGAAGTCTGCAGCAGGATTCCTGCTGACTGTGCTGACAGTTGGGGAGAGGACACTAACTGGTTGTGGGGTCCCAAAGCAATGGGAAGCTGGAGAGAAAAAGCTACAAAGAATGGCTTTCACCCCAGATAGCTCACTTGAGATGTTAGTAAGAATTGCCTCCTCAGTATTCTATAGCCACGAGGAGGAGGCGGCCAAGGAGAGAAAACAAAGAGACTGAGAAAAAGCAGCTGCTTTTGCTGCACCACTAAGAGAAACAGATCCCAGGTCTGATTCCCAGGGCCCCAAAAAGAACTCGACAACTGCATTCATCTGCTACCACTGTTAAAAGCCAGGCCACCTCAAGAGGAACTGCCCTAAGAGGCCCCATGGGCCATGCCCTGGATGCAAAGGAGACCATTGGAGATCGGTCTGCCCTCTGAGGTGGAGGCCCCAGAGCTCAGACCCATGCTACCAGTTAGTCCAACAGGAATGAGAGGGTTTGGGGTATGGTCTGCCTTCTCCCTCTGGCCAGACCGTCATCTCCATTGAGGAGTCCTGGGTAATCATGACTATGGAGGAACAAGAAAACAGCCTGTTGCTAGACACAGGTGCAAGTCTCTCGGTCCTTCTTTTCAATCCTGGCCTTCCTTCCAGCCATCATACCTCAGTGAAAGGAGTCACTGGTGAGGAGGTAATATGCTATTTTTGACAACCCTTAGGCTGTAACTACTTATTAGATCCTTCTTGCATATCTCTGTCTTCCTGAGAAACCACTTTGAAGATACCACCATGTACTATAGCAGCCATTGATATTTTCCTACTAATCTATCCATAACTGTGTAAAGTTTGTAATGTTCCTATCCTATTTCATAAATGGATGTATGTTTATTATTATGTGTTTCCTACAACAGCCATTGAGAATAGTTAATGATTTTTTAATAGGTCACTCATGTATAGCTCTATTTATTTTCTTTAGAAGCCACTTTGAAGATACCAAAGTATAGTACAACAACTCTTGATAATCTCCTACCTCTTTGTCTCTAACTCACTATTATTTGTCTATTTGTTTTCCTGAGAAACTATTTTGTAGATAACAATATGTAAAACGATAATCATTGATAATTTCCTACCATTTTGTCTGTAATTTGCTAAGTCCCCCCTATTATTATGTTGTCCTTCTTTTACTCTTTAAAATAAAAAAAAATTTAAAAAGTAAAATAAAATAAAATAAAATTAAGTAAGTAAGGCTTGGCATGTAGCTTTGTGGTCCCTAGACTCCATGCTTAGTGGTACCACCCAAAATAGGCATTAACTGCGCTGGGGTATAGCTCAGTAATAGAGTGTTTGCACATCAAAAGTAACACACACACACACACACACACACACACACACACACAAATTCAAATGTAAAGTGGAGAATTTAGAAAAAATTTTGAAGTCTCTGAAGAGTAGAGACCTGGGAAGAAATCAGTACAGACCTGCTCTCTTGTGGTCACTCAGAGACACTGCCAGTGCTCAGCTCCTTGGTGGAGGTTTCATGTTGTTAGGGTCCTGGTTAAGAAATAAGACAACCTCATTGCTCTCTGCACTGGTGCCCATGTTTCCAAGCCCCTTCCCACTGGAGATTTGTGTCTCCACTAGAGAAACTGGGAAGGGGGCAAAGACATTTGAGGCGACCAGGTGTGAAGATGAATGGACAGGTGAGGAGTAGCGGTGACAGTGACAGGGGAACTGGGACTAACCTCATTCTTCTCCCTCGCTGTCCCCAGAATCTGTCTGTGCCTCTCGCTCTTCTCCATTCCAACAATGAGAGGGACTGAGGTCCTTGGATATGGGACTCAGGGAAGTCTGCTTGGGGGTAGCAGGAAGGTATGGCAGACCCCCAAGTGAGGGCCTCAGGGGGACCACCAGGGTCACCCAAGCCATGGAGGGTGGGCATGGGCAGGGGGGAGAGGGGCCGTGAGGGGCGCTCCAGGGTTTGTCTCCATGTTCCTCATGGGCAGAACTGACTGACCACGATGCAGCAATCGGGATACTCGGTCTGAGTCCAGGGGCGGCAACCCTGCAGGATTTACCTTTCTGAAGACCTTGGGTGGTACAGGTGATGTGACATCCTTAACGGTTGTGTAGAATTCAGCAGTGACTCCATCAGGTCATGGGCAATTTTTACTGAGTAGACTATCTTTATAGTCTTTATATAGTCTTTATATATAAATTATCTTTATATCTTCTTGGTTTAGCTTTGTAATTTTCACTACGAATGTCTATTTCTTCAATTTTTTCCACTTCACTGGAGAACAGTTTTTCATACTAGGTACTGTACACTGGATTTCAATACTGTTTGGGTTCTGTTTTCACCTTGAACTACGCTGATATGAGTTTTTTCTCTCCTTTTCTTGGTCAGTTTGCCTAAGGGTTTAAGTATTTTATTTATTCTTCTGAAGAAACAACTCTTGGATTTGTTGATTCTTTGTACTGTTTTTAGTCCTAATTTTGTGGATCTCCACTCTAGATTTCCCTTCTTACTTTTGGTTTGGGCCCAGGTTGCTGTTATTTCTTCAGTATTTTAAGTTGCCCCGAAGTATCTTAATAATGCCCTTGATTGAGCCTGCTTCATTTTCTTAATGTAATGATTAATGACAATGTGTCCCAGGGGTTCTGGGGAGTTGTACAGGCATTGTCATGAACTTCCAGAAATATTTTGGTGGAATCTCAGCGTTGCTTCAATTTGCATCTCTTGAATGTTGAACATGTTTTGGTATATTTATTTGTCACTTCTATTCCTTCATCTGAGAAGTGTCTATTCATTTCACATATCCACTTTGAGATTTGGTCTGTAAATTTTGATGGGCTGGAGTCTGATTATTTTCAGTTCTTTATATACTCTAGATATTAAAGCTTTGTCTGAAGAACACCCAGCCAAAATTTTTTTCCCACTCTGTGGGTTGTGTCTTCACTCTGTTGGTGGTTTCTTTTGCTATGCAAAAGCTTTTTAATGAGATGAGATCCCAGTTGTTGATTCTTAGTGGTAGCTTCCTTGCAGTGGGGGTTTTGCCCACACCTATGTCTTTAGGAGTTGTACCTATTGTCTCTTCCAGCAGATTTAGTGTTTTGCTTTTTAATATTTTCCTCTACAGTGAAATATATGTTGCTTGTTTAATTCTTTGTTTTGTGGAAAGCCAGTTTATCCAGCACCATTTATTAAAGAGCCTATCTTTCTTCCAGTGAAGTTGTTTGGCTCCTTTGCAAGAATAACATGGCTGAGTATGTCTGGAGCTGTTTCTTCATCTTCTAATTTGTTCCACTGATCTTCAGGTCTGTTTTTTTTTTGTTTGTTTGGTTGGTTTGGTTTGGTTTGGTCAGTACCATGCTGTTTTTATTACAGTAGCTCATTAGAATAATTTCAAGTAAGACACTGAGATGCCCCCTGCCTTCCTTTTGTTGCCCACAACCACATTTGCTATTCTAGGTCTGTTCTGGTTCCAAATGAATTTTAGGATTATTTTCTCAAATTCTATGAGGTATGTTGTTGGAATTTTGATCAAGATTGCATTAAATCTGTATAACAGATATACATATGGTTGTATAACTTTTGGAAGTATGGCTATTTTCACTATATTGGTTCTTCCTACCCAAGAGCATGGGATATCTTCCCATTTTCTGGTAGCCTCTTCAATCTCCTTTCTCAGAGTATTATAATTTTCAATGTAGAGGTCTTTTACTTTTTTCATTAGGTTGATTCCTACATATTTTTTTGGATGCTATCCATAGTTTCTCTCTCACTAAGTTTGCTATTCATGTACAGGAAGGATATCGATTTTGGAGTGTTGGCTTTCCAGTTATGCTGTTGATTTTGATTATTAAATCTAAAACTCTTTTGGTGGAGTTTTAGGGGTCTTCTTTGGAGAGTATCATGTCAAATAATGATAACTTAACGTCTCATTTTCTATCCTGATTCCTTTTATTTCCTTTCCATGTCCAATTGCTCTGGCTGATGTTTCCAGAACTATATTGAATAAGAGTAGATATTCTCGTCTTGTTCCTGATTTTAGAGTGAAAGTTTTCAGTTTTTGTCCATTTAGTATGATGTTGGCTGTTGGGTTTCTCATACATGGTTTTTATCAGAAATACCACCTATTCCAATTTTCTATAGGGTTTTCTCATGAATGGGTATTGGGCTTTGTCAAATGGTTTTTCTGCATCTATTATGATGATCATATGGATTTTGTCCTTGGCTCAAGGAATATGTGAATATGGTGCATTACATTTATTTATTTCCAAATATTGAACCATTCCTAGTTCCTGGGGATGACTCCTACTTGGTCATGGTATATAAACTTCTTGATGATTTGCTGCATCACTTTTGCCAGAATCTTACTGAGATTTTTTTGTATCTATGTTCACTAATGAGATTAGCCTGTACTTCTCTCTCTCTCTTTTTGGTTGGATCCTTCTCTGCTTTTGGTGTCAGGATAATGCTGGCTTCCAGGAATGAATTTGGGAGTATTTTTTCTCGTTCGATTTCACTGCAGAGTTTGAGACATAAGGGCATTAAGTCTCCTCTAATTTTCTTGTAGAATCCAGCAGTGAATCTGTCAGAGCCTGGGCTTTTCTGTGTGGGTAGGTTTTCAATTACTACTTCAATTTCATTGGCTAAAAAAGTGTTATTTAGGATTTTTATATCTTCTTGATTCAGTTTTGGTAATTCATATATATCTAGGAATCTGACCATTTCTACTTTGTTTTCCATTTAATTAGAATACAGCTTCTTGAAGTAGAGGTTGATGATCTTCTAGATTTCTGTAAGATCTGTTGTGATTTCACCCTTTTTGATCCGAATTGCTTGGATTGGAGGCTGTTCTTTCCCCTTTTTTGATAAGGCTGCCTACGGGTTTGTCAATTTTATTTAATCTTTCAGGAACAAACTCTTCAATTCATTGATTCTCTGTATTGTTTTCTTAGTCTCCATCACATTGATTTCTGGTCTGGTCTTTATAATTTCTTCCTTTATGAGCTTTGGGCTGACTTGCTGTTCTTTTTCTGAAAGCTTGAGGTTCAACATTATTGACTTGAGCTCGCTCTGTTTTTCTGATTTGAGAATTCACTGTTACAAATTTTCCTGGTAGGGCTGCTTTCATTGCATCCTATCAGTTGCAGTATGTTGTATTGGCATTACCATTTAATTGTAGAAACTCTCTAAGTTTTTCTTTAATTTCATCTGTGGCACATTGGGTGTTCAAGACTGTGCTATTGAATTTACATTTGTTTATGAAGTTCTCGTGGTTTCTTTTTACATTGATTTCCAATATCATTGAATCATGATCTGATAATATACATGGGATAAGTTCAATTCCTTTGTATTTATGTATGCATTTTCTATGTGCTAGTATGTGACCTATTTTGGAGAATGTCCCAAGTACAGGTGAAAAGAAATTTTATGCTGGTGTTGTAGGGTGGAACACTCTGTAGACATCTACTAAGTCCATTTATTCAAAAGTTTGGTTCAATTCTAACATTTCATTGTGGATTTTTTGTTTAGTTGATCTGTCTTTTGTGACAGTGCAGTCTTGAGGTACTCCATTAGAATTACATTAGGGTTTACTTGATATTTGTGTCCATTAATATTTATTTAATATAGTTGGATGCACTGGTATTTGGTGCATATATATTTATGATCGTTGTTCCTCTTGGATTATTTTGTTCTTTGTCTCAATCCGTGTTGGCTTTAAATCCACTTTGTCCACAAGTAGCATAGTCACACCTGCTTTTTTCCAGGTACCTCTCACAGGAAGTATTAGTGTCCATATTTTGAATTTGTCTATGAATTTCTTTTTGGATTACATGAGTTTCTTCTATGAAGCATATTGTTAGATCTAGTTTCTTGATCCATTCTGCCAGTCCATTCCTTTTGATTGATTAGAGACCATTAACATTGATGGTTATAACTGATATGTATTGCCTTATTTTTGTCATGTTACTTTTTTGTTGTTGGCTCCATTCTCCCCTTTTGTGTAATTGCTTGCCTTCAATGGTGGATTAATTCCCCTGGGGTTCATGGAGTTGGAATCTTTGTTATCTCTTCCTAGAATATCCTTCAGAACATTCTGGAGTGCTGTTGGTGGTCATAAATTTCCTCAGGTATTATTTGTCATGGAGGTATCTTCTTTCTCCACCAATTTTGAAAAAAAAGTTTGATGGGGTTTTTTGAGCGTGTTTTTGAGATAGGGTTGCACTATGCAGTTCAGACTGGCACTTAATGACTTTGTAGCCCAAGCTAGCCTCAAACTCACAGGAGTCCTCCTGTTTCAGCCTTTTGAGTGCTGGGATTACTGGAATGTGCCATTGCACCCAGCCCTAAAAGTTTTGTAGGGTATATTGATCTGAAGTAGAAGTTGTTTTCTTTTAGGGTTTGAAATACTTCACTCTAAGCTTTTCTTCACTTGAGGATTTGTATTGAGAAGTCTACTGTTATTCTGATAGGTTTTCCTTTGTAAGTGATTTGTTCCTTTCACTAACAGCTTTTTACACTCTGTGTGTTGAATTTCTGAAATCTTGACTTTTTATTATTTTATCATGGCTAAATGGAGTTCTACATGCCTCATTTCTCTGTATGTCAAATTCTTTTTCCCTGCTTGGGAAGTTTTCTCCCATGATTTCTGTGAATAAGTTTTTCATGTCATTTGTGCTATCTCCTGATTTTTCATCAGTTCTGATCCAACTGACATTATTCTTCTTTCCATCATCTACCAGCTTAACAGTTCAAAATAAGCAACAAAATTGAGACAGCAGTAAATTGTCCACCAATGAAAAATTGCCCATGACCTGATGGAGTCACTGCTGAGTTCTGCCCAACCATTAAGGATGTCACATCACCTGTACCACTCAAGCTCTTCAGTAAGGTAAATCCTGCAGGGTTGCCGCCCCTGGACTCAGACCGAGTTTCCCAGTTGCTGCACATGGTCAGAGTCTGTGCCTCCTGCGAGGAGCCTGGAGACAAACCCTCAGTGTCCCATCAGTGCCTCATCAGCGCCCCTCACAGCCCCCCTCCCCACTGCCCACGCCCACCCTTCATAGCTTGGGTGACTCTGGTGGTCACTCCTGGGCCCCCACTTGTGGGTCCGCTCTACCCTCCTGCTACTCCAAACCAGACCTCCCTGAACCCCATATCTGAGGACCTCAGTCCCTCGCATTGTTGGAATGGAGAAGAGCAAGAGGAACAGACAGATCTGGGGTCAGTGAAGGAGGAGTAGAATGGGGTTCATCCCAATTCTCCAGTCACTGTCACCACTACTCCTCACCTCTCCACTGATCTTCACACAATTTCTTTAATTTTTTTCTGTGATGAATTGGTTGTTACTAATTTTCCAAGTGCTTCTACATTTCTATAGTTTCGTCTGTCATTCATTTCTAATTTCACTACATGGTAGCCTGATAATATATATGGGATGATCTTGAATCTTTTGTATGCATGTAAGCAGACTTTGGGGGCACGAATGTGTTCTATTTTAGAGAAAGTACTATGTGCTGCATAAGAGAGTGTATATTGTACTGTAGTAAGGTCTAATACCCTGTAGACATCTGTGAAGTCCAAATGTTCAAGGATGTGGTATGGCACCGACATTTCTTTGTTGTTTTCTGTTAGTTGATCTATCTCTGTTAAGATCCCCCATTATAAGTGAGGCATGGTACACATGCCTGTAATCCAAGCACTCAGGAGGCTGAGGCAGGAGGATCACTGAGAGTTCAAGACCAGCCCGGCTACATAGTGAGTTCAAGGCCAGGCTAAACCATAATGAGACCTGGTCTCAGAAAAAAAATAATTGTCCATTATCATTATGTCAGTATTAATTTGATATTTTATATTTAGTAGTATTTGTTTTATGAAGATAGGTGCTCCTTTATTTGGTGTATGTATATTAATAATTATTTGGCCTTCTTGTGGGAGTTTTCCCTTAACTAGTATGGAGTGACTTTCTGTGTCCCCTCTACTCAGCTTAAGCTTGATGTTTACCGTGTCTGAAATAAAAATTCCTATCCCTCTTGTTTTGTGGGTCCTGGTGCACGAAATGTTGTTTTCTATCCTTTGATTTTTAGTCTATGAATATCTTCTGGAATTAGATGAATTTCTTGACTACAATAGACTGTTGGGTTCTATTTTTTTATCCAATTTGCCAATCTATGTCTTTAAACTGGGGATTGAGGCCATTGAGAGATATTCCTGAGATGTGCTGATTATTTATGATCATTGCACTCTCTCTTCTTGTGACCTTTTGTTTTTTTCCTGTTATTTTTTGTTTGTTTATCCATTTACCATGCTTGGTAATTGCATTTCATCCGGACTTTTAGGTTTTCTGATTTCATCATTTATGTCTAGGCTATTCTTGAGTATTTTCTGGAGTGCTGGTTTCATAGTTGTATATCTCTGACATCTTCTTGATTCAATTTGGTGGTTCATATGTATTTAGGAATCTGTCCATTTCTTCTTCTTTTCTATCTTTTTAGAATACAGGTTCTCTTAGGAGATATTGAATGATTTTCTGGATTTCTGTAGGATCTGTTGTGATTTCACCCTTTTCATATCTAATTGCATTCATTTGAGTCTTTTCCTTCCTTTTTTGATAAGGCTGCCTTAGAGTTTATCGATTTTATGTAATCTCTCAAAGAACCAATTCTTCAGTTCCTTGATTCTGTGTATTGTTTGCTTAATCTCAACTGCATTAATCTCAGCTGCATTAATTTGTCATTAGAAGAAATGGAGACAAACCCTCTCTTTGTCATTTCTTCCCGCATGTGAGCTTTGGGCTTGACTTGCTCTTTTTCTAGCAGTTTCAGAGTAAACATTAGCTTGTTTATTTGCACTCATTCTGTCTTCCTGATATGGGTATTCACTGAAATAAATTTCCCTCTTAGGACCACTTTCAATGAGTCCCATAAATTCTGATATGTTGTATCAGTATTATCATTTAGTTGTAGATACTGTTTCATTCCTTCTTTCATTTCATTTGTGACCCATTTGTTCTTCAGTAGGATGTTCTTTAGTAGCCATGTATTTACGGAGTTTTTGTGGTTTGTTGTTGATTTCCAATTTTAGCGCACTATAGTCAGACAATATGCATGGGATAATTTCAATTCCTTCGTGTTTATTTAAGCATGTTCTATGGGCTAAGGTTTGGTCTATTTTGGAGAACACGCCATGCACAGCAGAGGAGAATGTGCCTGGGATTGGGCTCTTCTGTGTCACTGAGTAACTGTTGGGTCATCTTTTCTTCTTCTCTCATTTTTTGTGTTTCTCTTAGTACATCTTCATAACTGATCACTTCGTTCTGAATTTCAAACACTTTGTCTTCACACTGACCATTTAAGAAGTTTTTAAATTCTATACACTTTTTTGGTTCAGGTATTTCTCTCTCACGTCACTTTGAAGATACTCAATCTTTGTTGAATTTGTCATTCATGATTTCAGCTGATTTGGTCAACTCAGCTGATTTTTTACCTATTTCCCCTTATCCCATTTAGATAGTTTGAGGGATATTTCAGTGAACTTTTGGTTCATTTCCTTGTGGAGCTCATCTATTTTCTCCACCTTTTCCATAAACTTTTCATACAGTTGTGCTACCTGGTATTTGATTTCTTCTCAATTTCTGTCCCCTTGATCTGCCCTAGGAGACTCAGATGGCTTTCAGGCTCTTCTGTTCTCTGGCTTTCCCACATTGCCATGTATGTATGTCCATTTTTAATTTTTTATGGTCCCCAGGAAATCTAGATATTGACACAGAGAGAAAATCAGTTATTATCCACTACAATGTTACCTTAGCACTGGATATTGACAAACCTTAAGGACCACTATGAGCATTAACCACGTCTAACAGGTCTATGACTTTAGTGAAGACTATTAGGCCACCATATATTAGCTTATAAAACTTCAGACAGCGAGTTCTTCCTGGATGTAGGCAGCAGTGCCAGAGATCAAAACTATCACTAGACCAGTGATGCTGAACCTTTAAGAAACCAAGTGTCCAAACTGCAATCCAAAACCCACTTATTTATCACAATATGCCCGTACTGCACCTATATGTGCAGATATCCAGGCTGCTGAAATGACACTGGCATGACTTTGCATGCCAACCAAGAGGGCATTGCATGACTGCTGTGCCATGCATGCCTTAGCTTGGCCTTCACTGTACCAGACAAGCTACTTTGTTCTTTGGGACCATCCTGCTGATGACTTTACCCTGCAAACCCAGCCTCCCTTAATGGACTACAGGGCCAGTTACATTCATACTTTGACCCTCAGTTCCCCCCCAAATCCCAGGAGATCTCTATTTAGCAATCCCTCTTTCCAAGCATGTCTTCCAAAGTTTTTTCTCACCTGGTCTCTGTGGCAGGGTAACTCCTTCAGTCCTGAAGCAAAACTCTCCTCATGGGTGTTAGTTTCTTTTCAGTGAGAGGGGTCTTTTGATTGTCATCTCAGTTAGTCTGAACTGAGCAGACTCCAGGAAAAGGTACCAGCAACATTGGCTGGAAGGAGGATGATCAGTTCAGTCGGTCTGGGCCAGTCCTCTCTGGCTGGCGAAATGCATGCTTCGCTTCTGGTGGTGGTGGTGGCCAGAGGCAAGACACACAGGCCTCTCTGTCCCACTCTGGCTCCCCATGGCTGGGTGTGTACAGTCACCTGGTGGCAGCAGCGCCTGGGTGTGGGTTGCTCAGGGGGGTCAGTCTTGGAGTGGGGCCTCAACCTAACTTTAACCATAAACCTAACCCTAAAAAGGTGGTAAAGTCAACCTGATTCTATCCCAAACCTGAAAATACCCCTAACCCTAACCATAAAAGTCACCCTACCTATATGTGAAAACGAGATGTAATCCTAGCATTCGCTCTACACACACACTTTGCACTATCCTTAAAATTAGTCCTAATCCTAACAAGAAAAATAACCATAGCAGGAGTTATCCTAAAACTAAACCTGACTAAACTCTAGGCCTACACCTAACTCAGGCCATAGCCATAGCACTATCCTGGCCCTAGGATGAACACCAAAATGACACTAGTCCTAATGCTGGTGGAACCATAACCATGACCATACACCTAAAACTTACCATAAGCCTAAACCCAAATTTAAACCTAAAACTACTCCCAAGCCTGGTGGAACCCTAAAGCGAACCCTGACCTTAACTCTAACATTGCGCATAACTGTATCCCTGTCCTATTCATACCTTGGGGGAACTCTACTGCTAAACATAACCCTAACTCTAACCTACAACTAACACTAAGCCTAACCCAAGCCTTATCCCCCACATTAATCCTAACACTACCCCTAGTCCTATCTGTAAACATAACTCTAGCACTAACACCAACCCTACACCTAATCCTATCCTAGCCATGACGGAAACTTAGATCTATCCTCATTCCTGTTACTAGATTCGGCCCTCTCACTAACCATAAGCATAGCCTTAGTAGAATCATTGCTCTAATGGTAACACTAAACAAACCCTAGCCCTAACGTCAGTGGGAGACTAATTATACCAGAGCATTAACTCTGCCATTACACTAACCTTGACTGAACAGGAATCCTAGGGCTAGATCTACACCTAGTTCTAGCTTTAGCCAAGACCAAACCCTAACCCCCCCAAAATTAATCCTAACAGTAACCTTGTCCAACACAAACCCAAAGTTTAAACTTAAGTCAAGGGCAGTGATGGCAAACCTTTCAGAGAGGAGCAACCAAACTGCAACTTAAAATGCACCTACTTATCACAAAGTGCCAAAATTCATTTAATTCTGGGCCAGGGATATAGCTCAGCAGCACAAGTGCCTGCCTGTCAAATGCAAGGTCCTGAGTTTGATTCCCAGTACCAAAAGGAAAAGGAAAAATTCAGCTAATCCCATTTAGTGAAGCTTTCATTGAGAAAAAACAACTCATACGTTAACATCATTTGTCCTAAAAGAAAAAGAAAGGGGGCTGGGGATTTAGCTCAGCGACAAAAGCGCCTGCCTGGCAAGCGCAAGGTCGTGAGTTCAGTTCCCAGTACCAGAGAAAAACCAAAAAAAAAAAAAGAAAAAGAAAGGACACACATGCCATAGGTTTGCCACTACTAGTCTAAGGGAAACCTAAATATACTCTAACCTTCACCATAATCATAGCCATTACTTTGTAGACCTCTAGCTGTAGACCTAGCTCTAGCCCAAGCCCTACCCATAGGCTGTGGCTAAGGCTTTTGGAATAACCTATCATCTCCATTCTACAAGGTGACCTTGGTGTTTTGGAAAGGTCAATACAGACAAAAGACCCTAAGGTGTGTTTTGGCAAAACTGTGCCGAGAAACGTCTGAGTCCTGTCTCTGATTATTGCCAATAGCCCTTATGATGGTTTTAAACCCCAAAAAGGGGCTAAATATGAGTCTCTTTGAAATGTTATATGGAGAACTTTACTATCTTCTGATAAGATAGTACACTCAGAGACCACAAGATACTTATTATATTGCATTCATTTAGGCCGGGTACAACAGGCTACCTAGTATGGATGGCCAGATTATTGCCTAGAGGGATACCTAAGCACTTGCAGAACACCTGCTCATTAAGACATGGAAAGAAACGGACTCCTGCAGACAAATTAAAACAAAATGGAAGGGCCCCGTTTTAGTGACAGTTTCCTTATCCACTGCAGGATAAAGTGAGCTCCATTTGACTTATCTAAAGAAGAAGACAACCCAGAAGAATCTCTGGAAAGCCTGAGATCCTTTCTAAGAGCAAAACTCCGGTACCATTCTGAGTACATGTATGTAAATGGGATCTTGCTAAGTCAATGACTCTTGGGTTCTCAATAAATGTATCATGTTTTCTTTGCCATACTTTCTCCTCCAAAGGAAGCATGGACTCTCACATGGCCTTCATATTTGGGCTCTATACTCTCCATATAATAGCAAAGTTACTTTCTTTGTCCCATTGAACAGACAGCTCAATAATAACACTTTCCTCACTGACTTTCTTCCTCAACATAGCCAGTGAGCTACAGCATCAAAACATATGATCTCCAATAAGTAGAACTTACAGCCACTCAATGCCTATATACCACCTATAGGGCTATAAGTACTTAGATTAAGATGAAAATATCACCTCCCTTGACAGCTCATAAAGAATTATGGGAATCTGTGTCTTTCAGGGAGAAATAAGACAGGAGGGTAGTGTGTGGCAAAGGCAGGCTGGGAAGGTAGCATGACTTGTTCAATGAAAAATACCAGGAGGGCATCAAAGACTAGCTAGGGTCATCCTTGTGACATACGAATTACAACATCCCACTACATGAGCTCAGAACAGTTCCCAAAGCCTTGCACCTGGATATCTTCTGAGGACTTCATCATGTCTTCTATAGGGTGACCTAAACCTGACACCATTGTAGAAAATATTTCTTTAAAAAGAGAAAAAATAGACAAAGAAGAAAAACATCTGCAATTGTTTTCTCACTATCACGTCCCTTCACGGTAGCCCACTCACGCCCTGTAGAGTGTACTTATTCCTGTTCCCTACTTTTACATGGCCCAAACACATTCCACAGAGATTGTTTTATTTTCCACCTTTAATACCTGTTAGACATTATTAGCACTTGTACTTGTCTTGACTAATTTTAGGCTCAGCAGCAAAGAACTTAGAACTACCTCCAGAAGAACATTCCAGCACACAAAAATCAAGGAACAAAACCAGAACCCTAACTGTAACACTATCCATAATCTAACTGTAGACAATTGCTGGTGAAATTGTAGACCTTTCCTTAGACTCAACCATACCCTTATTCCTAACGCTAACTGTAACACTGCAGTAATGATAACATTAATCAGATTGTAATCCTGATGTTCATATTAACCCCAACTCTACTCCAGGTGTTAATCTAATCTTAACCTGCCTTAATTTAACCCTATGCGTGGAAAAACCCTAAGAACAAACCTTATGCTAACCCTAAGCCTAATCCTAACCCTGGTATAACTTTAGCCCTAGCCCTAACCTTAGGCCTAACCTAAACCTAACCTTAAACTAATCTTAACATTAATCTTTGTGGAACCCTAACCTAGTCCTAGCCACAGTCCAAGGCAAACAATAACACTAATGATGAGCATAACCCTGGTGGAAGTTTATTGATAAAACTGCAAATCCTAAATGAACCCTACTAGAACTCTAGCCTTAGGATAGATCGAACCCTACCATATCCCTAACCGTAAACCTACTCAAAATCTCACCGCAACCCTCATGAAACAGGAGCCCTGTCCCAGCTACATCCCAATCACTAGCCCTAAACCAAGACTAAAAACAATAAGCACAATCCTGACTCTGCTGTAACACTAACTCTAGCACTGGCACTAACCCAAATGTTGATCTCAACCCAAAACCCAACCCTAACCCTGGTGGATTCATAACACTAACCCTGACAATAATCTTCACACTAACATAAAAATTCACCCTAACCATAACACTGCTTGAACATCACCCTGCATATAGCCTAGCCCTAGACCCAGCCCTAGCCCTAGATTAGACCTAGCACTAGCCCTGAACCAAGCCTAGCTCCAACCCTAACCCTATCTCAGGTGGATCGCTAGTCCTAGCACTAACCATAGTCCAGACTTAGTTGTAACCATACCTAATACTAACAGTAAAATTAAACATAAATCAAAGCCTTGGAAACCTAGACCTAGAACTATTACCAGACCTTGCACTATTAGTAGCTCTAACCCTCAGCCTAAATATAACCCTAACACTGGTGCAAAGTGGTCATTAGACATAAACTTATGGAAAGGCATAAACCTAGTCCTAGGCTTACCCATGGCCCTAACTTCATGTAATCATAAACCTATATTAACTCTCAACCTCAGCATCTCTCTCACACTAACCCAGTGCTAACATTAACCATGAACACGACCATAACCTGATCAAAAACACTAGCTTTAGCATGAGCCCTATCTCTAGCCTTAGCCCTCGATATTTTTCTGATTATAACCCTGACCCTAGACCTACAAAGATTTAGACTTGACACTAACTGTAACAATAGCACTAGCTCTATTCACAGCCCTAGCCCTACACATAAACCTAGGCTTAATCCTAAATCTAGCCTTAACCCTAAACAAAGCCATAAACATATCATACCCTAGAACGAACACTAACCATAAGCCTATCTTAAAATTAACCCTATACAAACTTAGGCCTAGCCTTAATACTAATGTAAACCTATCACTAACCCTATTTATACCCCTAGCCTACACACCAACCCTAACACTAACTTTATAATTGGCCCGTACCCTAGCCCTAAAACAATCCCCACCCCTATCACAGCCCTAAATCTACATGTCAACCTACCCTAATTCTTACCCACCCTGAACTGGAGAACTAGCCCATGCCCTAACCCCAACCCAAACCCTAGCCCTGCTATAATCAAAGACCTATGCTTCTTTCTAATCCTTTGTAGCCCCAGCTCTATCTAATTAGTGTTAGTCCTAACACTAACCCTGCTGGAATCCTAACCAGAGAGATAGACCTTCCCATACGCAAAGACAAGCCTTTGTGAATACCTTAGCACTAGCTCTAGCCCAGGTTCTAGCCCTAGCTCTAAACCTAACCTTGACCATATCCCTCATGTGAGACTTAGCTCTAGACCCACACCTAGCTCTAGCCTAAAAATACTACAAATCTCACCAACCCTACTACTGGGAGAACACTAACCCCAAATCTAAATCTACACATAAACCCATACCTACCTCTACACCTACAACTATACCTACACCTGAAAGTAAACCTAAACCCAAACCTATTTCTAACTCAATCATAACTGGGAAACTTACACTAACTGTGGTGAAAATCACAAGCTAACCCTAACCCAAACTAAATCTTTACATTAGCCCAAGTTTAACCATCATGTAGCCCTAGCCTTAACCCTAGCACTAACACTAAAATGAGCACAAATCTTAAGTATAACACTAAAATTAACCCTAAAAGGGGTGGGGTATATGGCTTGTATCTAGATGTATCCCACAACCTCCAGCGCTCATAGCTGGGGCTTCTTGAAGGTTGCTCAGTCATGGATGTGTGCTGCTGGAATAGGCAACTTACGCATTAAGCATAATTCCGGGAGTGGTTGGATGTTTTAATAAGAGCACAACACTCCACATGAGTATCAGTGGCATCAGAACATAGGCTTGTATCACAGATGGAATATACACAGAAAGGGAGGCTCAGTGCTCTTCATTCATGGTGTCCTCTTATTAACTGTTCATCCTCTGATATGACGCTCTATCAGGTGGACCTGCTTTGGAGGCAGCTGAATAGGTACAGAGATCTCTACAAACTATGAGCTAAAATAAACATTTTCTCTTTTAAATTCTGGTGCTGGGCATCTTGTTTCAATGAGAAAACTATAAGATAAACAACTGAGACAATGGAATCTTAGCACTAGTCCCAGCCCTCACCTTAACCAAAACCCTAAACCTCACACTAGAGATACCCCTAACGCGAAGGACAGTGGAACATGAACTCTGAACCTAACCTTAACGTGAAAAAATAAATAGTAACCATAGCTTCAATCTTAACTAACCTAACTCTGGCCATCAAACTTGCAGTACCCATATCCCTCAGTCTATTTGCCCTTATCCTAAACCTTACAGAAACCCTGACACGTAACTCAACCCTTCCCATACAACGTTCCCTAGACTTATCACTATATCTGATCATAAACTAACCCTATCCCTAACACTGACATTAATAACCCTAACACCACTGTAACTAGACCCCTAATCCTATTATAGCCTTAATCTGAACACTAAACCAGGTGGAAACCTAACCATAACCCTAAGCATCCCGACACTCTACATATAAGCTAAATGATAACTGTCTTGGAATCCTACAGAGAAACAGAAAACTAACACTAAACGTAGCTCTAAACCTAAA